GTGTAGCTTTGCACCTTTCCTGGAACTCGCTTTGGAGACCAGGCTGGCCTCGAACTCACAGAGATCCACCTGCCTCTGCCTCCCGAGTGCTGGAACTAAAGGCGCGCACCACCACCACCGCCAGGCTCCTCCCTTCTTTCTTATCTGCCTCCTGGTCTGTGCTGAACACCAGATTTAGGAAGAATTCCAACGAGGCTAGGTTTAGTGTGTTCCAGGAACAGCATACAGGAACCACCTTCTCCAGCGAGTGAATGATGTGTTTTGCTGAAAGACAAAAAAGCTTCTGGGTGATGGTGGATGAATAAGCAGGTAGCTGGGTCTCTAGTGACTAGGTTAATGAATGGAAGGAGAAGGATGCATGGATGTATTGATGGGCATGTGTATGGATTGAGGAAAGGATGAATGGATGGATGAGTAGGTGGGTAGCGGGTGGGTGGGTGGATAGATGGACGGACAGACAGATGGGTGGGTGGATCAGTGGGTTGGGGGAACCTGTAGAGAGAAGTACATGTAGTTGTATGTGAACAACAAATCTCCATGTCTCCTCTGAGCACTGTGATTGTGGACAGAGTGGAAATGTGTCTGTACAGGAGTGCTTGCCTTACACGTCCTTCTTTTGAACACTTGCATATTCAGCACCCTCCTCATGTCAGTACCACACTCCTCTTGGGGAGGCCCAGACCTGTCACCGACCTGCTTCCCTAAACACTGCACCCTCTCCTGTGCCAAGTGCCACAGAGAACCTGACCCTCCAAGGCCACCGCACTGCCATTGTTCACATGAGCCCCTCTGCTCAGACTCCACCTTTGAGTAGGGCTGCAGTCACTTGGCCACAAAGCCTAGTTGAGGGGAGGACATAAAGGGCCTTTGATGGGACTTAAAACTTAGGCCAGTTGCCCAGGTGTGGCTTGGCCTAGTCAGGGGCTGTGGCAAGCAGATCAGCACTATGGGCACAGCCAGCCGCAGGCCTGGATGTGCAAGGAGAATGGTGCCCATCACCACACGTAGCACATGCCAAGCTCAGGCCCCAGGTCTGGGCTTGCTGTGTACCCTGTACTGGAAGTGTACCCATTCTATGAGCTTGTTTCTCCTTCATAGTACAAGTTGACAGGCCGGAATGTGCAAACTGCTGGCCCTTGGACTAAATCCTACTAACGTGCATAAAGCCATGGCTTTTATGAGTGACCTATTTATAAAATTTAGGATATTCTGCATATATGCCAGAATTTATGAATTCTCATTGAAAAGATAAAACAAACAAACAAAACTCTGGCCAGCCTGGGCCTTTGGTCTTGTCTGGTCCTCATGACACTGAAGACTGGATAATTAGTTCACGCAGGAGCCTGGGCCCTACCTGTAGTGTTTCTGTAGTTGTTGATTTTTTTTTCTTCGAGACAGGGTTTCTCTGTGTAGTTTTGGCGCCTTTCCTGGATCTCGCTCTGTAGACCAGGCTGGCTTGAACTCACAGAGATCCTCCTGCCTCTGCCTCCCAAGTCCTGGGATTAAAGGTGTGAGCCACCACTGCCCGGCCTCTGTGGTTGTTGAACATGTGACCCCAGGATGGTTGGCAGCAGGAGCCTGGGCCCTGCCTGTAGTGCCTCTGTGGTTATTGAGCGTGTGACCCCAGGGTTGACAACTCTGAGAAAGGCAGCACACCTGCCATACATGTTATGACATGCTGTCTCTCCTTGTCCTCTGTTCCACAGCTTCACACAGGCCATGATGAGCCAGCCCAAGATGGAGGGCCTGGATAACCACGCCACCTACTTCCTGGGCCTTGTACTCCTGGGTGGGGGCATCGTATTTGTGCTGTCCAGTTTCTTTGCACTGGGGTTCACTGGGACCTTTCTAGGTAAGCCCCTGAGGTAGGGGGTGTCTCTGGGCAGATACTGGGGTGCAAGGAGGAGCAGAGTCCAGCGATTGTCATCTACTATCTCTGATGTGCCTTGAGAAGCCACTGGGGGACCCAGCCTGTCATGGCTAGGACAGGTTCAGTTTTGCTAGCTCATCGGACTCCAGGGCACCAAACTGTTTCCTGGGAGACAAGAAAGACCCTAGCCCTGGTTGTGGGCCCCAGAGCGCTCTCCTGGGCTCAGCTCCCCTTGAAGCTCAGCTCTTGTTTGCATGGAAGGGTGAGGTAGTAGGGTGCCTGGGTGCACAGGGTGTGCAGAGTACCATTGGGACTGGGGTGAGGGCAGACAGGGCTGAGACCCTCCACCACGTGACCACTCTGGGCTTTACTTAGCACACTTGGCTACCAGGTGGTGGGATCTTGGCTATGGTAGGTACAGGCAAAACTTGTACAGGTCTAGGGTGGGGTGAAGGGTAGAGAGATGTGGTCTCTTCTCCATCCTCCACTCCCTGGGGCCCTGGTACTTTCGGCCTGGGAACCCAAAGTGGTCTGGTCTGGCCAGACACCTCAACTCACGACAACAGTGACTTCCGTCATCTTGAAAGCAAGAGAGGGCAAGCTCAAGAGAGACTTCCACGGAAGAGCCTGAGGGTAAGGGGCCTTCAGAACATTGATGGGGGGAAGGTAGAGGCCCCGTCTACAACGGTGCCCGCTCCAGCTCCCAGGATGTCCCCGGGGCTGGCACAGCTACAGAAGAGAGCTGGCTCTGCACAGGGCCATCAGATTTGGTCCCTCCTGGCTTCTGATCATGCAAAAACCAGACCAGTCTCTGGCCTTAACCTCCACCAGGGCCCTAGTGGTCTTCAAAGCACTACTATCACCTAGCCTCCCAGGACAGACATATTGGCCTGGGCTCGGCCTGGGCCAGGCTGCTCAGCAGCAGACTTGGAGCTGTGAAGTGTGTGCTCAGGAGTGACAGTGCCATGAGGAACCACGAAGCATATGAACTAGACACCCTGGTGCTGTCACTGGTGGCTCGGTGCTTGCTGCTCAGGCAGGAGCTGCTGGGAGTCATCCTGAGAGAGTGAGACCGGCCTGGGGAGAGGAGAGGCAGAGCGCGAGCTGGCAGAGGGCAGGTCAGAGTGGGGGCTGCAGGCAGTGATGCTGGAGAGCTGTGCCAGTCGGGACAGGGTTAGGGAGCAGATGGAGACCCCGAAGACTGCCTGGAGGACTGAACCTTCCCAAGGAGGTAGGAGCCGTTGAAAGGATCTCAGCAACAAAGAGTTGGGGATGGGGAATGGTGGGGCCAGGACCAGAGGAGGGAGCCGAGTGTAGAAAGTGGTCCTCCTCACAGAGATAGGGAGCAGGGAACCGCAGGAGGGTCCCCCAGGACTTGTGAGTAGAAAAAGGGCTGTGGCCACCTAAGAAAGAAACAAGGTACTGTTAAGTCCTGGAAGACAGATGAGCAGGGTGGGGTGCGGAGGGGAGGGGAGGGCTGCAGGCAGAAGGGGTGGAGAGCCAGGGACGGAGCTGGTGGAGGTACCCGGGTGTCGGAGGACAGGCTGGGGCGCCCACCGAGGATGGTCAGGGCCAGATGGGGAAACTTAGCAGGAGAGTGAGTCAGAGGGGTGCAGGTGGATCTGGATCTGCCATGGCTTTGGTAGAATGGCCTAGAAAGCAGAGGGCCCTGCAAGCTTTGGAAGTAGAGCAGAATGGCCGCTCCTCTCCTGTGACTCAGCCTGAAGCAGGTTTCTGTGCCACCCACCGTCAGGCCCCACTGCCCCGCTTCCTGCTTCCTCCCAGTGGTCCCCAGGCATCCTCTTGGACTCTTGTACCTTTTGTCCCCGACAATGACAGCACCATTTCTGCCAGGCCCCTCCTGCAGGGGCTCCCCTTGTTGAGCTGGCTGCCCTACTTTCTGCCTGGGATGGAGCTGCATTGTCTTTCCGCTCTAATGGGGAGCAGAGGAGAGGCTGCTGGGAAGGGCTGCCCCGGCCCAAGGGAGACACTCACCAGGTAGAGACCTGGGCCAGATGCTTTGTTCTGTGAGAGTGGCCTGGTTAGGTGGCTGGATGACTGGCCATCTGGTGGTCTCTCCCCCTGCCCCATGTCAGCTCCCCTGAGCTGACCTCCAGAGTGACAGGAGGCATGTGGTGGGCAGGCTGGAGCCTCAGCTAATCTGCCCCAGTTTGTTGCCGTGATGAGCACCATGAACAAAAGTAACCTGGGAAGGAAGGGTGTGGTTGGCTTACATGTTACAGTCCATCGCTGATGGAAGCCAAGGCTGGAAATTAAGGCAGGAACTAAGTAGAGACTATGGGAGAATGCTGCTTACTGGCTTGCTCTCCATGGCTTGCTCAGCTACCTTTAAAAAAAAAAAATACAACCCAGGACCACCTGCCCAGGGATGGCACCACCCACACTGAGCTGGGCCGTGGCCCTCCCATATAAAGCATTCATCAAGAAAATGCCCCCACAGTCAGGCCCACAAGCCAATCTCATGGAGACAATTTCTTAGTTAAGGGTCCCTCCTCCCAGGGGACTCTAGGTCATGTCAAGGTAACAGAGCTCATCAGCACACACCCTAGCATCTGGCCACCCCAAGAGGAAGAATGAGGCTTAGGGGGGAAGGGGGCAGCCAGGGTGGGAGGAGGGAAGAGCCGGGCAGATAAGGGAGGACCGACACTCTGAAGGAACCAGTGGGAAGAGCTTCTGAAGGAGGGAGGAAGGCCCTGGGAGGGAGATCTGCACTGACAGGACAGGGCTTCTCAAGAGAGGGACAGGCAGACACAGAGGCAGGCACCTGGTGGGGAGAAGGGAGAGACCAGTGGCTGGGGCTCCGAAGAGGGCCGAGCTGGGAGGCTCAGTGCCCGGCTCACTCGTGGAGCTGGTGGGAAGGCTCTGATCCTTAGCTGTGGGTGTGGATCCCACCACTAACTGGAGCTTCCTGGGGCACAGGACCCCACCTCTCCTGCAGATCTTCCAAGGCTCAATGGGGATTTCCTTCAGTAATAGTGTGGCCAAGGATATAGATGGCTAAGTGACCCTCACATCCAACCCCGTCTCATCCACAGGTGACTACTTTGGGATCCTCAAAGAGGCCAGAGTGACCACATTTCCCTTCAATGTGCTAGACAACCCCATGTACTGGGGAAGCACAGCCAACTACCTGGGCTGGGCACTTATGTGAGTACTTGGTACCCTCAGGACCCTTGGTGTCCAGACCCAAGCCCAGCTCTCTTCTGTCCTCTCATCCTGCCGCCTCCTGATCTCCCAGAACACACACTTCCTCTCCCATGCTACATACGTGTTGTCCCTTCTGACTGGAACCTGCCCACCTCCATCCTCGACCATTCTTCCAAACCCACCTGATGGGGACCCCTCCTCCAGAAAGTCCTTCCTGCCTCCTCTGGGCTTCTAGTGCCCCGTGCTGGGAGTCAGCGACCAACGGCCTGTCTCCTCGCTTATGGCAGAGCCGCACACATGTCCCTCTATATCACCAGTAGTGCCCAGTGCCCAAGAGTGAAGGTCACTCCAAGCTCGGGGTGGCCAGGTCAGGGTTCTGTGACATGGGACAGCTGCCTCCAGAGAGTATTGATGTGCACTGCTAAGAAGAGGTCCAGCATACTGCGGATGGAGCCTTCGTCGGAGGGCTGAGTAGAGATCCACCATTACATCATCACAGTGGCAGCAGACACTGACCCAGCAGGCCCGTCTCCTGCTTCTCCTGTCTCACTCGCACATATGAATCCCTAGCAGATGGGCAAGGGATTTATTTCTAGGTGCCGAAGACTGACACAGGCCCCGGGCCTCGCTTTCTCCAGTCCTCCACCTCCCCACCCTACAACAAGGAATGGGTACCCTGGGCTCCGCTCAGTGTGACCATCTGTCAGTGATCTACCTTGTCTACCCTGGGTTGTTAGGAAGTCAAGCTGGACCGCTGTGGCAGTAAGTGGCCAGGTTTTCCTGGAGATGGGGGTGTCAGGGACCCAGCAGACAGGACTGGCCATGCCCATATCCCCACCTCCTAGCAGGTCTTGGGACTTGATTTACCATGAGCCTGGTGCTGCTAGCTGAGGCAGGAGGAGGGGGTGTTTGTTCACAGTACCTAACCCCTGCTGGAGAGCTGGCCTCCCAGAGCCATTGGGAGCACTGTCACCCACCCCAGTGTCTTGGGTCAAGGCAGGGCAAGTTCTTCCAGGGTCTCCCACAAGCCTTTGACTGGGGTCGTATCAGTGACTGTTGTAGGCAATTGAAGACTTGCTTCATTTAGGAATCATGACAGAAGATCAAGGGCAGTGAGTCCATCCTTTCCCATGACAGGTGGGGAAACTGAGGCAGAGATGGCCTTGGTGCTTAAGTTCCTGGCTCCAAAGCATGTCCCTTCAGCTATACTTGCTTTTTGTGTGGTAGTGAACCGTGGGGCCGTGCTCACTGCCAGCTTCATGTTGAGGGCTCTCAACGCACCAACCCAAGGTTTCATTCATCAGCCATCTTCCAAGGGCTTCCCTGACCCATAAACCTCATGTGGCCAGAACCGCAGCTGACCCCTGGCTAGGGACAAAGTGCTTATTTAGCCAGGAGGGAGGGGGAAATATCATGCCCATGGTCAGGCCAGGACACCCACATCAAGAGCTGTCCCAAGTTCCAAGTTGAAAGGGACAGGAAGGACAGAGTCCCAGTTAGAGCCCAGCTGAGCTCTGTGGGGGAGACACAAGTTGGGACCTGAAAGTGTTGAGGGAATTCAGTTCAGGGCCTGGGGCAGTGGCAGAGGTGGTGGCCAGAGTGTGAGAGCAGATGAGCCCTACAGATGTTCTGTGCTGTCCAGTGGAGGGGTCCTGTGTCCCTGCCCTCTCAGATGGGCACATGGGCAGACCGGTGAGTGTGAGGTCCAAGTGGGCATTAGTGAGTGAACAGGGCAGAGGGCAGAGGGCGCTGTAGGGCACACACACTCGTGTGCCCTCTGCCCTTGGGTATCTAGATGGGGGCAGTCGAGGAGAGCAGATTCTCCCTGTAAGCTGAGGTCTGTTCCTGTCCTCTCTGGTTTATTCCCTTCCTGCTGAGGTAGATGAAGTAGCCCAGGCCCTGCAGGAGCCAGAGGTTACCATAGAAATAGCCTGGGGGCGCTCGGCAGCAGCTATTTCTGGAAACCCGAGGCAGACATGCTTGGGCTCCTCCCTGCTGTCACTGACAGGCTGTCTGCATTCATTGGCAGAGTGAGGTCAGAGACTGGTCACCTGCAGAGCCATGACAGATATGCCCGGGACACTCTGCCAAGGACTTCTCTCCTCTGGGCTGGAACTGCTGGGGTACAGGAAGGACAGCTCTGGGGCTGGGGCATGGCAGAGGGGGTAGATGGACCGCAGGGGCAGATGGGCCTGTGCAAAGCAGGACCCTGTGTTCCTGCCCTTCCCAGACAGACTTATGGACAGACTGACCAGTGTGAGTGGGCATGGCAGAGGGCCAGTGTGGGACTGCTGGATCTGAGGGGAAGGTCTTGCTGTGGGCCACCCTGATGGTGACTATGGGCTGCACCTCTCTATGGGCCAGAGGTCAAGTGACAGAACTTGCCCATGAGGCCATGTGCCCATGGAAGCCCTGGGTTGGCTTTTTACAAGTGCCGTATTTTCTAAGAACACTGTCTGGTGGGCAGATCCCTGTCCCTGAGCCTCGATCTCAGCAGGCTAAGAAGCAGGGGCGGCCTGACAAGGTGTCCTTCCTCCCCTCCTGTCTCCCTGAGCCTCTCTAGAAAGTCAGACTTAGGAAGGGGTCCCTCCAGGCGCAGCTCATCCCGAGCATCCCAGCATCAGTCAAGGACCGACCCACTGTGTCGGCAGGAGTGTCTCTGTTCTTCCAACTGATGGTCTGTCTGTCTGCAGGCACGCCAGTCCCACAGGCCTGCTGCTAACGGTGCTGGTGGCCCTCGTCTACGTGGTGGCTCTCCTGTATGAGGAGTGAGTAGAGCTGTGGTGGAGAGGGAGATGGATGTGATGGCCAAGTTAGACCAAGCCTCTCATTTAGAGCTGCTTCATGGGGCCTGGCGAGCTTCACCGGGCCTGCTGCTGGCCTGGCTCAAGAGGCTGGGGGTGGGGAGGGGACACTTGGTACCCGAGACCTAGGCCGGCAAGCAAGTGGTCCTGGTCCCTCCAGGCCCCTCTTGCACTTTGAAGCCTCTGGGAAAGTTCTGGGAGACGTGGGAATGTGGGTCCTGTCCTTACCGGTGGGGTTGGTTCTGGAGCTGGGGTGCAGCGGTGTCCCGGAACAGCCTCCTGGAGCCTTTTCCTGTCCACAGGCCCTTCACTGCTGAGATCTACCAACAGAAAGCCACCAGGCTGCACAAAAGGAGCTAACAGGGCCGTGGGGGATCTGTGGACAGCCGGACTGGCCTCCCGGCTGCCCCGGGCATCAACCGTCCTTGGGGAGAGCAGCACTGGCCACTGCGCCTGGGCCTTGGAAACCAGTCGTGGGGAGCCCAGGCATTATGCCATGTGACCACTGAGCCTCCCATCCCCACCACGCCCCGACACACTAATAAAGGCATTGTGACCTCAGCACCTCTCTGGGCCCCTTTCCATCTGGTCCCAGGAGGGAAGACAGGGCATAGGCTCTAGGCTGTAGGAGGACTGGGCAGGGCAAGAAGCATTACATCCCTGGAGGGCTTCTGGCCCAGGCTGGTTTGGCCCTTTCTTTCCAGTGTAGCTTCCTGGTGCTGTCTGGGATTCACAGAGAACTGTTTCTCAAAAGACCTCAGCAATAGGCTGGAGCCACAGCCTTTCCTGGGCAGCGGACACCCTGGGTCACCTGCCATCCATGCCCCAGCACTCACGGGACATGCCCTCGCTGCTGGGAGACCCAGATCATCCTGAGGGTGGAGGTCTATCAGGTTGACACTGACATTCCACTAAGATTGCCATCCGAAGGCAGGAGCTAGTGGATAAATCCCCCCACTCCCCACCTCCCCATCCCCCATCCACCCGAGCTGGGTAAAATTCAGCTGGAGAGATGGAAAGTGTGGGCAGAAGTTGACATTGGGCATTAGAGGGGACCAAAGGACAGCCTTCCTCTGCTCCTCCTGGCACTGTATGGCCATTAGCAGCTGGGCCCACCTTGACCCCTAGGATTCCAGGTTCCTGGTGGATGGCTTAGGGGTACCTAAGCTTGCTGGACTTTGGGGTGATTGTCCCAACTCACCAGAGGCCCTCATCCCTTAGTCTCCGTTGCCTTCCTTTGTCAGGGCTCCTCACTGGCCCAGAAAGCCTTGTGAGATTTGAGGAGTCCAAAGGATCAGCCTGTGTCCATTCCAGCCCAAGGCTATGAAGCCTCGGGGGGCTCACAGGACAGTATCTAAGTGCTACCCTCACCTGACATCTTGTTATTGTCACCCAGGACCCTGGCCAAGACTTGAATGGATTTTCACAAGTGCCCTGGGCCTAACAGCTCACTGTGCACGGATCTCCCAGCTTACATTTCCAGGCCCTCTGAGGAGGCCTGAGCTTCCCCTCCCGGCCCCAGGCCAGAGCACGGGCTGGAGTCTCAGGTTAGGCAGACAAGGATGACACCTTCTGTTAGTGTGGCCTCAGATTCTTGTTGCCCTGTTCCTTGACAGAGTCTAGGGCTGTCATCCTGAGCCCTGCCCTCCCTCATACACTTCTGGTGGGTGGAAAGAAGATGCCAAGAGCAGCGAAGCGATCAAGCTTCACCCGTGTCCTCGCTGTAGCTAGTCCCATGCAGGTCCCATCCCACAGCCCTGGCAGATGTCGTGCTAAGCCCAGGCCAGAGGAACACTGGTACCGTTGGTACCAAATGGAGCAGAGATGGCTCCGTTGCCAATGCTGGCCCTTATCTGATCCTCCGCACCAAGGGACTCAGCTCTGATCGCTGCTGTCCCCACATGGACCTACTGGCTCGCTTGCCAGGCTGCGGGTTTGGGCAGAGGGAAGAGGCAGCACCAGCTCTCTGACAGCTGGGGAGAGGCGACAGCCAAGGCACACATGGAGGTGATATGATTTCAGAGGTGAGAAGGAGCTGCAGAGGGCTCTAGGGAGAGGAACGGGAACCTACAGTTTGTTCTCTGAGAACAGAGGGCCATATGTGTTCTTGTCATACACTCAGCAGGCCTGGGCACGTGTGTCTGAACCCCAACATGTCAGTCAGAGTCCGGCAGGAGACAGAGAGGGGATGGAGCCCCCGGGAGGCTCTGCAGGCCGAGGTGGGCCGGTTGCCAGAGAGCTGGGCCCGCCTCCCGATGAGCTGGCCCCGTTGCTTTGAGCCCAGGCCACGTCAGTTCATTGTGGTGGGAGCACACAGTAGGGCAAGCTGCTCACCTGATGGCCAAGAGTCAGCAGCAGTGAGAAGGGCTGGGGCCCCACAATCACATTCACAAAGGCACTCTCACAATAACCTCAAGGCTACCCACCAGGCCCCACCTCTCAAAGGCTTCTCAAGAGCACACTCTGGGGACCCAGACTTACAGCCTCCAGACTCTGGCAAGTGACCGTGTTTGGTGAGGTCCTTGCTGGTGGAGACTGCAGAGTCCCAGAGTGCCCCTAGGGCATTGCATGATGGGACCACACCTGTGTCCTGCTGGACTCACCCCCCTGCTGCTCTTCCAATGTGGGGAGAGCTGGACCAGATCTTTGGCCTGCCACTTCTGATCTTTTTTTGTTTGTTTTTGTTTTTGTTTTTCAAGACAGGGTTTCTCTGTGTTAACAGCCCTGGCTGTCCTGGATCTCACTTTGTAGACCAGGCTGGCCTCAAACCCACAGAGATCCGCCTGTCTCTACCTGCCTGTGTGCTGGAATTAAAGGTGTGCTCCACCACTGCCCGGCTCACCCACCCTTCTATTCTTACCCCTTGGATCTCCTGGGACTGGAGACCCAGGGGAATGGTGACATTGGCTCTGGCCCTCCTGAGTCAGGGCCCCAGCCTTCCACACAGTGCCTTCTGGAGGCAAAGGGCCTCGCTCTGGGGTTAGCTGCCCTCACGTGCAGCCTTGAGTGGCCCCTTCCTGCAGCGAGCACCCTGTACATACATAGCAGTCCTGTGTTTGGCTCGGGCTCAGGTCCTTCTCACAGATGAGGAGAGACACTCCCCCCAGATGGAGAAGGGAGGGGAGCATCGGCAGGGGCAAGAACTGAGAGTGGCGAAGGACTCACCCCACCTGGCCTGTCCTAGATCTAGCCGATGAGGCCCGGGTTGCTCAATGGCTATGGATGTTGAAGCAGCCTAGGAGGGAAGGGGAATGAATATGGATGTCCTGCTGGACTGAAATGGGCCAGACAATTGCAGCAGCTTCTGCAGTGGACATTGTTGTGGGGGGCACAAGCAGAGGTGTCGACGGGACAATGAGAACCAGGTGGTCCAAGCCCCAGGCCTGCTTGCTAGGTAAGCAGCTTGCTTCTTTGAGCCTTAGTTTCTTCATCTGTAAAGTACAGAGTGCTGCTTCTCTGTCTCCAGTGCTCTCTCCAAGGAGGGTATTATCACAGGACCAGGACCACCAAATCAACACCCCCAGGCCATGTAGCGCCGGGCAGGATGGCTGCTGCTGCTCTACAGAGGCTGAGCTTCTGCTGAGATCCTGGGTCATAAGGAAGGGTTGAAAACCTTGGGGGCACTCTGCAAATATCTCAACAGGTGGGGATGACTTAGCCCTGCTCCTGGGGCACAAAGACTACCTGCTAGGGTGAGTGGCATCTGTCAGCTGGTGGGTCTCTGGGTTTCTCCTAATCAGACAAGGTCAAAACAGAATGAAAACACAGCTTGCCTTCATCACCAGTTACGAGCAGCCAACACATCCTCTTTCTCCCCAAGCATGACTCAGTCCTGGTTACTGATCAACCCGCTGCTGGCTTCCTCTTTGGGCAGCCTCCCTGGTACTATATACTTTTATTGTTCTGACCAGGCCTGGATCTTGGAAAGTGTTTGCATTTATAATTTCACAATCAAGGGACCAATGTCATCTCCCAGAAAGGGAAACTAAGCTATGGAGAAGGCCCTGCTCTCAGGCCCCACTCAGCTCCCTCAATGCAAAATGAGATGATTGGCCCACAAGAGAGAAAAAGCAAGAAAGCCATAAGAGAAGACGGTAGGCAGATGCAGTCCTAGGGTTGATTTTTTTTTTCTTTCAAGGGTGTGTCTCTAAGTATGTTGTCAAGGACAGATAATGGTAGCTGTCCCTTGCTGAGGTCCCCACAGACCAGATTATCTCTAGTTAGGAGAATAGCAGGAGTCGGGGGTCGGTTTCAGTTGGCTTCCTGCCTTACACCTTACAGCTCCTCTCCTTGCCACAACTTTCGGCCTCCCAGCGTGTCCGCGGGGCTCTCTGCTTCCCTCTGGTGGCAGAAGCGCAAAGCGCGGAACCTTCGCGCAGAAAAACCCCAAAACACGGAACACAACGCCCGGAAAGTTGGCACGGACCCGCGTACCTAAGGGGCTGGCGCTGGGGCAAATGCCCAGCAAACATGCTGTTATCACCAAATCATATTTTCTGGGAAACCGGGGCCCAAGGAAGTGAATGTCCGCACATTGGTGTTGAGAGAATGGGGATCCCAGAGGTCAGAGAGTCACCCGCACAGCCAGGACCCCTGTGGCCGAAGCTGGGAAGCGCCAGATCCTCGCACTGCGGTAGTTTGGAGTTAGTTTTCCTCCCAGCGCACGTAGGGCTGGAGTGGAGCTGCAGGCTCCAAGGCGGAGGTCGCTGTGTCTGGGAGGAGCAGGGCGCGCCCGGGGGCGGGACGTGACGCACCTTGGCTGGGAGGCGCCAGCCCCGGCGCTTCGGCCAGCTGCATATAAGGGCGGTGTGGGGCGCTGAAAACCAGAGCTCGCTGTCTCCAAGCGCCCAGCCAAGCTCTAGCGGTCCTGAAGCCAAGCCCTTCCACCACTCCCGAGCCTCTGCCTTCTCTCGGCCCCGCATCTGCCCCCGGGGTCTCTCTGCCCAATGAAACTGGCCGCGATGATCAAGAAGATGTGCCCGAGCGACTCTGAGCTGAGTATCCCTGCCAAGAACTGCTACCGGATGGTCATCCTCGGCTCATCCAAGGTAGGCAAGACCGCCATCGTATCGCGCTTCCTCACGGGCCGCTTCGAGGACGCCTACACCCCTACCATCGAGGACTTCCACCGAAAGTTTTACTCGATCCGCGGCGAGGTCTACCAGTTGGACATACTGGACACGTCCGGCAATCATCCATTCCCTGCCATGCGGCGCCTCTCCATCCTAACAGGTGAGTGGGGGGCCGGCTGGGACCCTGAGGTCGGAGTCTTGGGGTTGGGGGACTGGTGTGTCGAGCATGGAGCCGGGGCTGTACGCTGTTTAACTCCTGACAACCATCCTCACCTTTCCCACTCATTTCCCTATAGGAGACGTTTTCATTCTGGTGTTCAGCTTGGACAACCGCGACTCATTCGAGGAGGTGCAAAGGCTCAAACAGCAGATTTTGGACACCAAGGCATGTCTCAAGAACAAAACCAACGAAAATGTGGACGTGCCCCTGGTCATTTGCGGTAACAAAGGGGACCGGGACTTCTACCGCGAAGTGGAGCAGCGGGAGATTGAGCAGCTGGTGGGCGACGACCCTCAGCGTTGTGCCTACTTCGAGATCTCGGCCAAGAAGAACAGCAGCCTGGACCAGATGTTCCGTGCGCTCTTTGCCATGGCCAAGCTGCCGAGTGAGATGAGCCCTGACTTGCACCGCAAGGTGTCCGTGCAGTACTGCGACGTGCTGCACAAAAAGGCTCTGAGGAACAAGAAGCTTCTGCGTGCAGGCAGCGGCGGCGGCGGCGATCCCGGGGACGCCTTTGGAATCTTGGCGCCCTTTGCGCGCAGACCTAGCGTGCACAGCGACCTCATGTACATTCGTGAAAAGACCAATGTCGGCAGCCAGGCCAAGGACAAGGAGCGCTGTGTCATCAGTTAGGTGCCCCCAGCATCGGCCACACAACCTGAGGACCTTTTTTGTTCAAAAGTCAAATCAGATTCCCGGGCTAGCCCGCGCGCTCCGTGCCGTGAGGGGTGCCAACTGGCCTTCTCCCTCGCTTCCTGCGACCTAGCCCTGCGTACCGGGAGACGCTGCCAGACCAATAAGGGACAGTCATCTGTTGGGAAAGGAAAGAGAACTGGCTAAGACTGGACTCTCTAGCCACTGATACCCCCCGCTGGTGCCTGCCCTCACTTGTGGGATGCCAGGACCCAGCAGAGGTACTTGGCTTTTTTCTCAGACTTGAGAATGAGAGTGTGTGAAGTTCATCAGCCTGTGAGACTTCAAGTATCGGTCCTGCCTGCTGAAGGGCCAGGACCAACAAGGCATTATCCTGTCTGTGATTGGTGTTGCCATGACAGCTGTCAGCCACTTCAGCCCTCCGCGACTGGAAACTTGGGCGCGAGGTGGGGGTTCAATCATAGGCAAGAGACTTGTTTACATGTGTGTGTGTGGAATTGCTCAAAGAAAAAACACAAAACTTGCACTTTAATTAAGTTCCAGTGTCAACATGACATGAACAAAATCTCTACATTTCTATTGTGTGAGGTCTTTATTATTTTTTTATTTAAAATAAAAATAATTTTAAAAATTAAAAACGATGTTTCCTTTGCTCTTGCTTTTAGGGAGCTGGGTTCCTGCCTCAGTGGCAGTGGCCAAACAGAACTGGGATGGGACCTTGCCTTCTGGGATGTGCTCTAGACCTTTCTGGCTTTCTCTGTCCACTCTTGGCCTATCCTGGCCTGTCACAGAGGGCCTCGTTTCTGGAGGATACTCATATTCCTCTTCCACAGGGCCACTCAATCATGGCAGGCTACAGAAAGCCGTCACTCTGGAAGCTCTGATCCTGATCACAAATCAGGAGGAGCCTGAGCCTGAGAGAGTACCTGGGAAGACACCAATGCTAGATGCTTGCCCCCTGCCCCAGGGTTGCTTGCAGTGTAGCTCCCCAAAGCACTCACCAAGTGAGGCTCATCTCTGCATTTTGCTCTCTCCCTCTGTGGCTGAGGGCTCATGGCTTGTGACCCAGACCTCCTTGCCACTCCTAATGTCAACTTAGGGCAAGTGTCACCTTCCAAGCCTCCAATTCTGCTGCTGAGAAACAGAGGCACTGTGTGTGGGGATCAGCATGGTATCTCAGGATCAGCACAACTGCTGCACCCCATGAGCCAGGTACTTAGTGGTTTTCAAGAGAGTCTGGAGCTTTAAGGGATGCTCAAGATTGTCCTGGGGTGGGAGGCTTCAGCCCTGCTTTGGGAAGGGCCACTTTCAAGGAACTGTACCACTCAAATCACAGGAAAACACTCACTTAACAACAAACGGATGGCGGGATGCACATGCTGCTGGGTGGAGGAAGGAGCAGCCATCTTGCTTCTACACTATCAACAGTCCATTCTAATCCATCATAAATTAGAAAAAACCTGAAATCCTGGGGTTTGACTCCTAGCACTGTTGGGGGAAGAAAAAAGACAGGCAAACCATGTGTCCTGGGAGCAGAGCACACTTTAATTACATGTCTGAAAATGACAGGTCAGCACACTGGAGCAGAGAAGACTCCATCCCTCGAGCCTCTGAGGAGCTCTTCCCTCTCCGCCTATGGGAGGATCTGAAGCTCCTTCATTTCATGTGCTCTGTGCTTCACAGAAACCGGGCAGAGCCTTAAAACTGGCTCACCTACTGCTCAAACTTCCTAGAAAATAACTGATTCAGTTATATAACAGTTCCAAAGTAGATGCGGCTTAATTGGCACCCTCCACTCAAATTCAGAGCCCTCTTTTCTGCCCAAACGACTGGAACTCAACACCCTCTTACACACATCCCAGGGCCCAACTGTGAGGCATCTTGGACAGACAATGCCACCAGAACCCTGCTAAAAACATCCCAGCCAGCACTCCTGCCAACAAGGCCACTTGGCAGGCACCTGCTAAGTCCTAAACTGGTCAGCCCAGGCTGTGCTCATGTCAAGATCCAAACAATACTGGGTACTCTCACCTTACTCCCGAGACAGAAAGGGCCACCCTGCCCTCAGTGTAACAGCCTGGGAGGGAGAGAACACAGTGTTCCACCTGGGACTGGCTGGGCACACTCTACAGCACAGCTATGGAACCTCCAGGCTTAGCTCCCCCTGCCCTTCAGACCTAACTCAGACCACACACCCACCCCTGGCTGAGAAACCACCCGATTACCCCTTCCAACCACTCTGCTTCAAACCAGAAGTGTGCAGGGACCATGTGCAGGGTAGCGAATGTGGCTGACTCCTTGGCTAGAGGGGAGATGACGCTGTAAGCCAGGGCCTATGAATCAGGGCAGAGCTGCTTACTTAACAGCCTCTTTGAGCCAGCGTGGGAAGAACAAAGGGCCCCAGGCAAGCAGTGCTTTGGCTATTCTGAGCACTACCTGGAGTGATGGAGATAAAGGGAGCAAGAGCCTATAAGGCTAGTAAGCAGGAGGCTGGAAACTGGAGTTGGTGGCTGGCAGGACTCTGGGCAGACGCCCCGGAGATACACTTTCATTCAGTAGCTCAAACAAAAAAGGAAGTGAACTGTTTGGCGGGGAGAAGCCACCCACCCGCTGGCCTTTCAAAACAACGTTCACACTCTCCCAGCCTTCTTTAATTATATTAAATTCATGCCATCTGAGTGCAGGCCTAATTTACCCCACAAACTCTATGCAAATGCTTCATGAAACTGCTGTTAACGGGAACAGTATGTACCTGATACCCACTGATGGTATCGGGAGCGGGAGGAGCCGAGGGAAAGACGGGAACGCGTCCTCCTCTCCTCCTGTGCCCTCTAGATCTGCTGATGGGGCCTGGGCATAGCTAGTCAAGGCTGAGTACAGCCACTGAGGCTCCCCACCAGCCACATGTGGCCTCATAGTTTAGAGAAGGGCTCCCAAGGAGCTGGACAGGACCGGGTGAAGCTTTCAGTCCCTTGGCAGCAGTCCTGGGAGCTGGCCCTACTCCTTGGGGATCTCAAACATGCAGAGGCTCTTGTACTTCTGCAGAAGCTCGTTCTTGGTCCTGACTTGCTCCCGGAGGCTCTGTAGCTGCTGCTGTTGCTGCTCAGGGCTCACGTGGATGCCGGGCATGGTGCCTATGAGCTTCCGCATCTCCTGGAACTTTGTTTTGAGAGCATTCAGGTCCTGGTGGAGATCTGGGCTGTCCTTGTCCATGCTATGGGCGGCAGGGGGAGCAGAAGGCAGTCAGTTATTAGCAGGTGCAGCTCATCTCCACAGGGGCTTCCTTGTTCTACACCCTCTGATACCTTTCAGAATGTTGTTTGCCATGTCTGCCCCCTGACTAGGATGCCCACCCCAGAAGAGAGGGATTGGTCTCTGGTTTTTTCTTTAGCTTTAAGTTAGATCATCAAACAGTCCCTTGACTAGCACATTTGACAAATCACAGGTGTCTCGCTGGCCTGGCCCTCTGCACAGGGCAGTAAACTCAGGAAACAACTGTGGCTAAAGAATGCTTGCCCAAGTATGACAAGCTGAGTTTGGAGTCACATCACCCATGTAAAGTAGAAGGGCACAGGTGGGGTGGGGTGTAGAAATAGGCAGATCTCAGAAGCCAACGGGCTAAAGTAGCAAGCCTCAGGTTCTGTGCAAGGGAATACAGGAAGAGTGAGAGAGCAGGACATCCATATGCCCTCCTCTGGCCTCCCCAACCATACACACGCACCCACCACAGTACACCAAACTAAGTTTTCAAAACACCACCTGTCCAAAGAGTGACTGCCTGGAGAGCAAGGCCACAGCACGCTAATGACCGCACCAGCACCAATCACCAGCTGCCTGCTACCCCAAACAAAGAACAGCAAACTTGCTGGCATGCTCTGCTCCACCTGACCTCAGGCCAACCAGGAGACTTTGAGTTAGCAGGACCTTCATTTCACTGAGGTGTGATGCTGGCTTAGGCTTTAGTTAACAAAGACGAATTCCCATCGCGCTAGTCATGAATTTAACTCAGCTACAAGTCACTGCAAGTTCTCAGGAGACAGATCTTCTCTTCTACCGTGGTTCTGCAAATGCCTTCTTCTGGGTCAAGTTCCTTGTGAAAGTGGATCACTCATGTCCTTTCACAGCTGTGACCCACTCAGATCCCCACTCCTGCCATCAAAGCAAAAGCAAAACAAGAACAAAAACCCTAACAGCTGGGCGGTGGCACACACTCGGGAGGCAGAGGCAGGCGGATCTCTGTGGGTTCAAGGATAGCCTGGTCTACTAATCGAGTTCCAGGACAGCCAGAGCTGTTACACATAGAAATCTTGTCTTGAAAAACCACACCCCCCTCAAAAACAAAAACCCTAAGAACAAAAGAATCACCATGGAAGCAAGGAAACAGATGAGCTTTGGAACAAGCTCCAGCTCAGAGCACAGACATGGAGGACTGCCACTGATCAGGTGTCAGAATTTTAAATCCTCTTTTAAGAAATCTGGTTCACATTGTAAGTCTAGAAACATATATTAAAAGCAAACAACAAACCTCACATAATTAAAACATGAAAGGAGGATTATAGTAATATTGTTCCTGAAGCAAACCTAACCAGCCCTGAAGAAATTCTAATTTAGAAAGCCAAGTGTGGGCCATGTGTAAGATGCTCACTTCTGAAACTCCAAACTCAACAGATCCATTTTTACCGGGTGAACTTTGGGGGAGGGGGTAGACTTCAGGAAAGAGAAGCGTGGAGAAAGGCGCCTGGAGAGGAGATGGACTGCAGGCGTCTGCAGCAGGCTCTTCACCTGCCCTAGTTGGGAGTGGTAAATAGCACAGAAGTCCCGGGGTGAGGAAAACACTCTATTCAGGAACCTGCTCAAACCAAGAGGGACCCTGCTATGGAAGGATGACTGTGAAACAGTGAAATCCCCAGGCCTAAAGAAAAGGGTCAGGCTCCACAGTGAGGGAATAAAAGTCGAAAGCGCTAAATGGGCCTGCCTTTGTGCTCAGCGTTAGTCACCATCCAACTTTAGAAGGGAAGAGAGAGACTAGGTCAGGAACGATGGAGATCATCCAAACGAGGACAAAGTTAGAGCACCACGTCCACCTCCTGTGCTCTCTCAAAGGGTGGGCAGAAATACTACGGCCATGGGGGCATGAAGAGCAGGGCATCCTTTTAGCAGCCAGCACAGGCACTCAGGTACAAGTCCCAGGCTCTTGAACAAAAGCTAGGAACAATGGGTGCATCTCAGAAATGCCGATTTCCCCCAATTTCTTTTTGGCACAGAAACAAACTGGCAACAAGTGAGCAGCGTATCCTCCAGCAGTGCAGAAACAAGAGGAGGCCAGGGGTCAGCAGGCCAACCACCTCTCAAACCGGCCAGTCACTCTCCTCACCTCCGGGTAACCTGACCTGGCTGCCTACGTCTTCTTCCAACAAACTTCTGTCGCCCTCAGAAGCATGCCCGGCCCTGCTGACCTACCCTGGGGCTAGTCCCCTCAGTCGTCTCTGTCCTCAGCCTTTTCTCCCACTGTACCGACTCCAGCGGCTTTCACGTCCCCAAATGTTTCTCTTAAATATTAGTAGATGCGGAGGCAAGAAATTCAAAGTGATCGATATCAAGGCTTGGAAAAGGGAAGTCCTTTCAGTCCCAGTCTCAG